ACTCAAAACAAGTCAAATTATTTCAAAAAAATTTTCTTGTATGGGAAATGATAAAATAAACATTTTTTAATGAAATTTTTTTTTACCTACGGTCAATAGTTTTTGAATAACAAAATATAAAAATCATTTTTGAAAATTTGTTAATAATTTACGGGTGAATATATCCAATGACTAACTTTAAACGCTCTTAAAAAATGTATTTGACTTTTAGATAAACTTTTTTTTGTTAAATGTAAAAAAACTTTGGGGGAATCTTGGATGAAAATTTCAAATCTATATATGCGATCAGGAGCATCATCCTCTATCATGTCTTGCATAAACCGTCTAATTTCAGAAGTATTCTTGCTCTTGACGAATTACCAGAACGGATCTGAAAAAAAAAACAATTATTTTAACTGTTCCTAAAAAATATGTTGACTCTATGTTATTTACATTCAAGTTTTGAGAGACTTGTTTGAATTCCAAGTTATGTTGGTTTTCTAGGAATCGTATCTGACCTTAAATATTCAAAAATAATGAATTGTAAGTTTAATTATTTGTTTTTTACTTATACAATTACCTACCACAGATATTTAACTAATATATATATATATATATTATATTATTATATATGTGTGAAAATTACATATATAACACTCCGACATAGATACTCAACCTATACATTTATTTTTTTAGATGAACAAGTAACAACAACATAGAGAAAAACAACTACAGTAGTATTGCACATTCCATCAAAGATCTTGAAGCCACTAAAAAAAATGCTTTCCAACATTGTAATTAATACATAATTATACACACATACTATTAAAGGTAATAGTGTAATACCTATATTTCAATATTCCTATAATATTCATAACATATTATTACATGTATCTATAACCTCACTAAGGCCCGATGCACACGTGCGTTTTTCGCCGCTGCGGTGCCGCTGCGGCGCCGCTAATACGGCGAACTTTATATGTGATCAAATCGAGCAGTGCACATGTCTTGCGGCGCCGCTGCGTCACCGCTGCGTTCGGTGTCTGCCGCAGATAACAACGTCGCCGCAACGGCACCGCGCACGCAAATCCGGTTCAGTAGTACATTGTTGTATATCGACTCATGCACACGTCCGATTTTTCCACGCAAGATGTCCGAAATCGACGATGTTGACATTGAGTTGTTGATCGGTGAAGTCAAAAGTCATACAGAAATTTGGAACATCGCTGATGAAAATTATCACTATAGGACCAAAAAAAGAAGTGCTTGGATAAGCATCTGCCAGAATTTTTTCCCATCGTTTGATGAAAAGGACGACAAAGAAAGAAATGATATATGTAAGTATTTTCAATATTATTAAAATTCGTCAAAATCTTGAAAATGCACAAATTATTTTGTAGTTACAAATTTAAAAAGTATTCTAAATATCAGTGGCGGCTCGTGGGTAAAATAGTTAGTGGTGCACATTTATAAAATATATTTGTAATAGCTAATTAGTCAACAGAATAGTTTAATCCCTTTCATAAATATTATATATTACAATTAATGCTTAAGAGCAATTTAATATTCTTAAAAAATATAGGTGGTGCATATGCTCCTGTGCTCCATAGTACGAGCCGCCACTGCTAAATACTATGATACTTGATAGCTATTTGATAACTATGAAAAACTGTCGAAACTTTTATGTTTTTAAATATTATTAATAAAGATATGTTTATTGAAAAATTAAGTAAATCCTTAGGTGAACTATACAATTAGCAACTTACTATTATATTATAATTTATAATTTTTTTGTATTTTTCTCTTACCCATTATATTTTATTATATTAAAAAAAGTAACAAATATTTTATAAAAACAATTGTACATGTAAAATGAAATATTATCCCTAAAATATTACGACAATACCTAAATTTACTGATTTAACCAAATTTGAATATAGTATAAATTATAATTTTTAATTTAAATAACATTAAAAAAAAGTTCTTAAATGTAATTATTTTGCCAATGAACACTGCCAACATCCGAAACAAAATAATCAGCCAACTTATTTCTCGTTTGAATATACTGGTTAGTTGTACTTGTTGTTCCTCCATCTTGTTCTGCGTCAACAAATCCTGTAACACTCATGACATCTTGTATGTTGATTCCATCTCTAACTCTAACATAGTTATGAAGTGAACAACATGTTTTTACCACTTGAATGGCTAAATCCAAATTAGCATTTATGGGCTTATGAAATATTTTCCATTTATTTGACATTATACCAAACCCACTTTCAACATGCCTTCTAGCTCTGGAAAGTCTATAATTAAAAACCCTTTTCTTATGAGACAATACTTTTCCACTGTAAGGTCTCATGATGTTCGACGAAAGGGAAAAAGCTTCATCACCAATAAATGTGTAAGGCATATTTATATTAGTACCTGGAAGGGGTCGGCTTTTTGGAATGTTCAGTGTATTATTTTCAAGTGCCTTATAAAAATTTGTCTTTTCAAAAATCGTACTATCAGATTCTTTACCGAAAGCGCCAACGTCAATATAAATAAACTTGTAGTTTACATCTACGATGCCGAGCAAAACAATTGAAAAATAATTTTTATAATTATAAAAAAGTGACCCACTCATCTTCGGTTTACGAATTCTAACGTGTTTGCCATCGATTGCCCCTAAGCAATTGGGAAACTGACTGTAGTTTTGAAATCCATCTGCTATATCTCTCCATTGTTCTTCCTTCAGCTCAGGAAATGTTTCAGATCGTAGTACTTCCCATATAACACCGCAAACTCTTCTCAAAATTTTTCCAATAGTTGAGTGTCCTATCCGATAAGTTAAATGTAGATCTATCTGATCACAACCACTTCCCAAGTACCTGTAATGAAATTACGACTCATATAATTATACTCATATATTTTTAGATTCTGAGCGAAGCGAAAGAATGTATTGATTCTACAATGATGTGTGTTTTTTTATTTTTTTATTTTTGTGTCTGTCATCACCTTTTAGGACAGTAAAAATGCTTCGATTTTCTTCAATAGTACCTTTTCTGATAGGAAAGTGAATCTAGTTGTTACTTTGGGGGGGAGGGATTCAAAAGTAAAAATTAAAGTAGTTTTCAAAAGCTTCGTGAAAAAACAAATAAAAAATTAAGGAAAAAACGGCAATTTTTAGGCAAACCCAATTTTCGACAAAATTGATTTTAATAAAATTCATCAAAAAATGATAATTTTCTTCATAAAATCCTTCATAAGTTTGTCTAATTATATTAAAAAACCAAGAATAAGTATTTTAAATATTTTTTTTGTAATTTTACAATATTAATTCAACTTATACCGGCCACCGTATTAATAACTAAGTAATAAAAATATAAATAATATAATATAAAATACCCACACTGACAAACCGTCATCTTTTTCAACTTGCACTTGTATACTCCCACGAATTATATAAATTTATTTTTTCTTAGGTGAAAAACTTATCAAAAAGTGGAGAAACATAAAAGACAATTATACTAAAAGTAAAAAAAAAAACAAAACGACGTCAGGACAGGGTGCCAACTTATCGAGACGTTACATTTATGATCGTCAGCTATCTTTTTTACTAACAGCCGGGGCCACAACCAATACACAGGGTAGTTTTGATGGGAACGACGAACAGGAGGATACAGAATTATTAGCAAACCAATCTAACGAAGAAGCTGAAACACCTCCCTCATACACACAAAGCAGTTCATCAAAAAAACGCAAACACGACTTAGAGTCATCTTTAATCGATTATTTAAACACTCCTATTCCGAGTCAAATTATAACAACACCAGCTCCAGAACCAAATCCAGACAGGTCTTTTTTCGACAGCATATTGCCATCCATTGCAAATTTAACAGAAGACCAGAAAATAGAATTCCGCTGTGAAGTACTAAATATTATAAAACGGATGAGGGCTGCAACTTTACCGCCACAAAACTATGGTTATCCACCAATTAATCAGGATTACTTATATGCTAATCAAACATCACAGTTATCAAACTACTCTCCTCAAATTGCATCATACCAACATCAAACTCCCAATTACATGCAACAACGCCCCCCAAGATATACCCGACCTGGTCCATATTCTGCTCCACTTCCTCAATCAAATAACATGCAACAAAGCCCGCCAAGATATACTCAACCTGGCCCATATTCTGCTCCACTTGATCAATCAAATAACTATGGGATGGATTCCAATCCTACATCTCCATGTACATCAATTGGAAAAAATTACAGTGTTAGTGAAGAAGATAGTCTTGACATTAATTAAAAATATTTAACAAAGTAATATTATTTTATTTGGTACATTACTTATACATTTCCTATGTGTACCTATATTTTGTAATGTTAAACCCCATATATTTAAAAAGTAAATAAATATGTTTTTCACGTTTATACCTTTTATATATTATATTATATTATATATACATTTAGTACTTACTTACGCAAATAAATAATATCAATAGAATTAACTTACCTCAAAGTTACTGCAATCATTTCTAGTGGTGGTATAGAGAGTCTCATACACGTGTCTTGAGAGATAAGCTTTGGAGATACTTTTGTTGCTAGTTCGTCAAACGAGCGAACACTCATTCGAAAATAAGTAAAAAACTTTTCTGGATTTTCTCTTATATCACTGAATGTAGTATAAAATTCACCTCTTAATAATCTTGAATCTGTAAATGGGTGCACCCAGTAACGTCTATCATACGTACGTACATATTTTTTGTGCACCAAGTACGCTAAAATTGCCTTTTTTTTGTAATAAACCTCCATAGTTGGTAACTGAATGGCAACTAAAAACTAACTAAAGTGATGTTCCATGCTGAAGGCCGTCTCGGGCGACTGGATGACGTGCGGTTACCGCAACAAAAACGCAATGGTGTGTATTCAACAACTGCGGCGCCGCAGCGGCACCGCAGCGGTGAAAAACGCACGTGTGCATCGGGCCTAAAACTTACACAAATAAACCAACACAAACGTTTTTTTTTACATTAAATTATACCCATGAATTCCCATATTTTAAGGTGAGGTTTAATGAACCGTAAAAGAGCTGCGTGATAGCTCTCCAGATAATTATTTGTCCTGATATCCTTGTCAAATACAGTGAAGGCTTCTGGTCGCATTCTTACAAACCAATATCCAAATACATACTGGTACATGAAACAATGGAAATATTCGGCTATTTCAGTATGTTGTACAATATACAGGATAATAGAATTGAAACCATCTAACATGCTGGGAATCCTATTTTCATTTGAATTAGGTGGTAAATACGGCAGAGCAAGTACCTGGAAAATGTATGGTTAAGCTACTGTATTTTAATATGTTCATAGAATAATTAAAATGTGGTTAATACCACTCTAAAAATTCTGGCAGCAATAGGATTGGCTTTTACCAAATTGTATATGCCTAATTCTTTATTTCTCAGGTGCCGTAAAACTGACTTGAGACAAAACATTGAAAATACATTTTTATTAATTTGTTAATAAATATATTATATACTTAATATATTAATTTATACTTGACAATAATGGAAATAGCATCCTTGATGGCTACTTTCTGGAAATACTAATCGTATTGCATTAATTAGTCCAACTTCGAAATCAGTTATGATGGTCAATTTGTCATATTGTAGTGGTAAAACGTTACGGACAAATTTAAATAACCCTACATATATTTCTTCAGTTTTACCTGTAAGTATTGCATATACCATTGGAAAACTCTAAAAACATAAATAGTTGTTAGTTAAAATGTTATTAATATTAATATTTTAAGTAGATACTAAAATGTTCAAAACAAGATGATTTATTGTGTGATGTACAATTTATTACTTACAACATTTCTGTGTATCACTTGGAAGGTGAATAATTGATAACAGTCGTTATCCAACGTTTTGGGAACCGTTTTGAATGTTCCGTCGCACCCAGATATTGTAACCTAAAAATTAATTTTTTAGAAAGTCTTCTATTATTTCTTCAACCAGACAGTCCAGACTAGATGACTTACATTATGTAATTCGCTTTCAATTGACTCAATATGATGTTTATTACAAAATAGTACACCAACAAACGAACCATCAACAATGAGTGGGCCTTGATAAAATCTGGGGTAGGTAACACAAAAAATTAAAGAGGTATCTACAGTATGTTGTAACGAAATAGGAAATTGAGACTATGATTAAATTATTATTTTGTATTAAAACAAGTATGTACACTTATGTTACCAAAATCTAACTTGTATAATAAGTACTAATCAGGTATCCATTTCCTACATCATTGTTGAAGTGTATAATTGTTATATTGTATTATTGTTGTTAAAATACATACAAACTTGGCTGTTTTTGAAACGACATAGTAAAATGTTTATTATTATCCATTTGTAATAAATAATTAAAATGTTGCAGGTTCCTTGGTGTTGGGGGAAACACTGTTTTCCTTATTTACCGCATCCCTTAGCAGCTTGGGAAAATGTATAATTTTCAGCTCCTTCAGGATGGCTGTTGTATTAAACAGTTATTTTATATAGGTATGTGATGGTTATTTTAAAGTTAATTTATTTTTAAATTTACCTAACAATTGCTTCTACATATAAAGATCGTGCTGAGTATGGCCGAGCAATTTGTTGAACACAACGATTTCCAATTGAACTGCGGAGTTCTCTCATTTCTCTATCTGATGGTCGCACGTCATGGTTATGTAACCTCCGCAGTTGAAAACATTTACTATTTACATCAGCAGAAATTGAACCAGTGGCTGGGCATCTCTCTTTACATTTTAAGTACCTAAATTAAAAGAAATAATTTATTAATTTAAATCTGAATTTCAAATGATAATGCAAAATAGTCTTATTAAAATATTTTATGACTTACACTTTGTCTTCTAATCTTTTACTTTTAAAGTAAAGAAACCCTAGATTATCTTTAATAATATGTTCATGTTGATGAACACCTGGTATTAAACTATATGTATGTGGTCGTTCACCTACTGGCCAAACTGAACATTGTCTGTAAAAAAAAAAATTGTTTTTCTATAATTGAACATGACCTTTTATGATATTTTTTTAAACAGTATACCATCAGTCGCTTCAACTTCAATCACTTCATGTTGTACTATATATTAAATGGAAAAGATAATTAGTAAAATTACTCAAATTATTAAAAATATTTAGTCATTAATCAATTATTTATTTATTTTAATTTAAAAATATAGTTAACCATGTTAGTAGTTAAATACTTAAATACATAGTTACATTAAAATATATCAATTTATAGATATTCCTATTAGGTGTTTAATATTTCACAGACAACCTATTTATTATAAAATCATTAATGTCACCCATAAAACTTACTGTAAAAGACTTTCTTAAAACGTGGACTATGCCTACCGGGGACACCACTATAAAAAAAACGCGCCACGCATAATACCTCTTGAGTTTAAACAACATGGACGATGTAATGTCTTACGTTTAACAAGCAAATGGTGGTGTGGAAATTTATGCACATCTTTGTCATCATGAATCGTGTGGTACTAATAGTTGCAATAAATAATTGCAGAGATTTATTACATATATAAAAGTGATCTTAGTTTAAAATAATTTGGATTTAGAGATAATGTGGGTTTCTAGGAAAAAATTTCACACTTTTCTAACTTTGCAGTGAAGTGCTAGACAAAGAAAATAGATGATAATTTAGTTGTAGATTTAGATGAACATTTTTCGCTGTGCATCGTCTCCGTATTATTCAAATAGCGGACAATTTATTATAATATTATTTAATTTAAGAATTTCGTTACTTTATCATTTATTCCATATTTTTTTTCCATTTCAGGCTAGATATTTCCTCGAAACAGGTGATATGTTTCGAACAGTTATTATTTAAAATATATACTAAAAACAAGTCTCAAAGCAGCACAAACAGGAAATGTTAGATTTCTTAATAACATTAAAAAATAAGGGAAAGTAAGAGTGCCCATAAGTTGCAGGCATGTAGCCAGATATTTTTCTGTAAGGTGGCAAACATTTTTGATGCTCCTGATCGCATACTAACTTTTTTACGAATGGATCTTCGCAGGAAAAAATTTTTTGTGTCCGTATATAATATTGCCTACATTTAGCCCCTTTTAACAATTTTAAATTTGACAAATATTTTCAAAATTCGAACTAATACCCAGATAGCAATTGTGAAATGATATTATTATTATTACAGTACACAAATATTGTTATAAAAATAATGTTATTATAATAACATAACTATCCAACTAACATAATATTTTTACATTATAAATTATAATTAAAATAAATAAATATATTAATAGTTAATAAATTTAATAATACACAATTCAAAAAAAACACAATATTCATTATTCACTTACGATCGTCATTTAAAAGATACAATTCAACAATATATTAAGAAATTCATTTTCTTTTAGCACTATAAGAATGATCGTCATATGAATGAACATTTAAAACACTTGTATTATTCAGTAAGGATTTTCTTATTATATTACCTTCACTCGACGACAATTGATGAAATTCAAGTTTATTTTTTTTATTTTTAGTAAAGAAACGTGGTTGTTTTTCAATATTCTTTTTATGTTGATTGTATTTATATCTTCTGTTTGCATAGGTTTTGATTCGTTTGTAAGTAATTCAATAATTTTATTGCGATGTTTTAAAATATGTTTTTTTGTGTACTGTAATAATAATAATATCATTACACAACAGGGGCGCACCCAGGATTTTTTTTGGGGAGGGCTAAATTCACATAATTTTAATATTAATAAATAATAGGTAGTATTTTTTTTGAAATATGTACAAAAATCTTTAAGCATTTTTACAATCTTTTACTAACAAATTATTTTTATTTTTGTCCCGGTTTTAAGTGTCGCAGGGGCGACAGTCCAGGGGCGGAGTGGGAACCAAATCCAGGCCGGGAGTTTAAAATTTATCCAGGCCACCCACCAAATTTCTCGCCATTATCATAAAAGACTCAAGATAATCATTGGTCATTGAATTTCTCAGCCTGTTTTTTAATTAATACTTCAATGTTTAAAATGGGTGTTTTATTATAAAAATAACCGACCTATGTCAATATTAGGTATATTGCTTTGATTTTATTTGATGTCTATATTTATGTACCAAATATTTTGTAATTTTATATCCAAAACTTTCTCATAAGAGTATACGGTTGTACGAGGCTATCACAAAGTACTATTATTGCATTAATAATATTTGCAGTACAATAATTTAATAGAAACAAATTTACGACGCATTTAGCATTAACTAATATTTTGTAAATTAAATTAAATTAAAAAAAAATCTAACAAAATGGCCAGGCCACCAGGCCATCTGGAAAATTCCCATTTCCAGACCGGCCACTCCGCCCCTGCCGTAGTCTATAATAATAGACAACAGAGGTCTCTCCCGGGGCCCGGAATGACAGGAATAAATTTAATAAAATTATAAAATCAATGATATAATATAATATTATGTTACACCTAATGTTTCAATTTCGATAGTTGATAATTTTTTTTATAACAATTTAAAGTAAAATGTAAATTTGTCAATAAACCTAATAAAATTATCAAAATGTTTAGCCATTTGGGGGGTGCTAAAGCTCGTTAGCCACCCCCTTGGGTGCGCCCTTGTTACACAATTGCACAATTTTATTATATAATTTAACTTTTATAGCTAAAGATTGAAAATTTAAAATAATGTTCCACCTAAATATGTTGTACATATACTGTATTCTCAATGAATTGTGTATTTTTAAATTTTAAATTACGATATTGTGTTTTTTAATAACTTATTAACTATTAATGTATTTAACTATTTTATTTATAATTAATATAATAAAATATAATATTATAATTTATAATGAAAATTATGTTATCGGTTTATCAATGTTGTCACATTTTGATAACTGCAAAAAAGGGGCTAAATGTAGGCAATATTATATACGGACACAAAAAATTTTTTCCTGCGAAGATCCATTCGTAGTTTTTTTGATCCAACCATTAGATTTTTAAAGGTAAGTGTATACTAATATTGATGTATAAATGTTCAGGAACACGAATTTTTCATTTTTAATTATCTAAATTTTTTATTTAACTCTGATATCTTGATGTTCATGCAGGGGCGTCATTTGGGGTGGGCAGGGTGTGCGACGGCACCACTGACATAATAGAATAAATAATTGGCCCTCCATTAATGCTCCTATGCGCCGATATGATTACTATTAAAAATTAATAAAAAATTCTTGGCCCAAAGTGGCGCTGAAGTCCAACATTTTAACTATGGCATTAGACACCTCCACATAAAATGTTGACACCCACCTATTTATTATAATTACCTTACCATACGCAAAGTAAATATATATTTTGGGGCCACTGATTCATGCATGTAATTAAATTTTTTTTTTATCAGCTTTATTATCAAATGTATCCCTATTTGACAATCGTGTGAAGCGAGTCTTATTCTGTGGTTTTATTATGTAAGACAGTTCGTGCCAGCCTGCTGGTATCAACTATAGTGGAGTAAGCATAGCATAGCTGATAAAATAAATACTAAATACTTTAAACGGCATGGTTATTGTTTAGATATTAATGTTAAAGTTGGCCTGGTTAAATGTTAAAATTGGCCTGCCCAAAATCTTGCACACCCGGAAAAAAAACTGAAATGACGCCCCTGTGTTCATGTACTGGATTAGGAAAGTACTATAAATCTATTAAATGAACACAGTGTTCATTCACTGGAAAAGTAAAAATAATTTTTTTTGGCTAAAATTAACAAAATTAAATACATAATGCTTTAACAAAAATGTTTACTATATAACAATGTTGTTTTAAATGAATTCTTCCAATAAATGAACAGGTTTTTATTGTTTGTTCATTTATTGGTGTTTCAATGTAAATTCTAGTGAATGAACATTACCAATCAAAAAAGTACAATTTAAATAAATATTGTTATAACTTTTTTTAATTTAGAATAAAATACCTGTACCTATATATAATGGAAGAGATAAAAAGACGATTCAGGTACAGTGAAGAGGACTTGAAAAAGGCAATAGAAGCAGTTCAGCAAAATGAAATGACTCTATGTAAAGCTAGTGCTAGTTTTAATATCCCTAAAGGTACTCCATCAAATAAATTAACCTAACTATGAACAGTGAAAACAAGGCTGGAAAGTGTGAAAATACAATTAATGCAGATAACTCTAATATTATAGAAAATATAAGAACAGGAATCAAAACTAGTAATTTGACTGAATCTTCAATTGATAACATATGGTCAACACATTTTCCATGGCCTAAAACTCCAAGCAGTCAGGGGTCAACTAAATCATCTGAACGAAAAG